TTCCTCCCCGGGCGATGCAGAGCCGCGCTGCCGCCGCCGCCGCCGCCACCTCCGCCGGGCGCTTCTCGGCCCCGGGCGGAGGGTGGCCGGCCGCCGTGCAAGAACCACCTGCGCGCGTCCCGGTTCTCCTCCCGCCCCCAGTCCGGAGCCGACCTGCCCGGGGATGCGGGGCACGCGACGCCCCCTGGCGGACCCGTGGAGGACCTGCCGCCGCCGCCGCCTGGACCCCCTCGCGAGGGCGGCGGCGGAACGCGGAGCATCATTGGTCGCTGCCGCCGGGGCACGGCTCGCGGGAGACCTTTGACCGGCCGCCCCCGGGGCCACGCGGTGGTCCAACTGCAGGGCAGCCCTGGCGAGGGTCCGAGGGCAGCTCGGGGGCCACTGGCAAGCAAGCAGGGCGTGTGTTTGGGTAGAAGGGCCTGCCGCTGTGCACGTCGCGGGACCGGGGTGCTGCAGGGGGACGGGGTGGGGCGGGTGGAGAGGAGGAACCCAGCAATGCACGTCTCCAAACGCGGCTTCATGCGGGCCGAGCCACGACGGCGCTGCTGCAGGGAGAGGCGCTCCGGCCCGCCCCGTCCATCCAAGACGCCCTTGGGGGACGGGGTGGGGCGGGTGGGGAGGAGGAACCCAGCAATGCACGTCTCCAAACGCGGCTTCATGCGGGCCGAGCCACGACGGCGCTGCTGCAGGGAGAGGCGCTCCGGCCCGCCCCGTCCATCCAAGACGCCCTTGGGCAGGGCGGACGCCCTTGCGAGCGAGGCCTTATGCAAATCTAAGTGGTTTTCGGCCAATCGGAGCCCACGGAACGCCGCTGGAGGGGAGGGGCCGAGCCAGCCTCAGTTTAAAAAGCGGGGAGGGGGAAATGGGGGGGGGGGTTGGACCGGGGGCTTACTTAATCAGGGCTTTTGCGGGGACCCGAGGGCTGTGCGTGCAAGTTCTGCGGAAAGGCGCTCTCCTTCTGGGAGGGGAAAGAGCCGCCTGCCCAGAGAGCCGGTCTGACTATTTAGGGATTGAAGTTTGAGTTAACAGGGGCACCTCTATGACCCATCAAGTTTTATTTTGGATATGAGGTGATAGCCAGAATAAAACTCGGTTGGTCTTGAAGGTGCCCCTGGACTCAAACCTCGTTCTGCTGCTTCAGACCAACAAGGTAAAGGTTCCCCTTGCTCGAAAGCCAGCCGAATCCGACTCTAGGGATGCGGTGCTCATCTCCATTCCCAAGCCAAACAGCCAGCACTGTCCGAAGATGTTTTCGTGGTCATGTGGCCAGCGTGACTAAACGCCGAGGCACAGGGAACACTGTGACCTTCCCACCGAAGTGGCGCCTATTTATCTACTTGCAGTTTCTTGCTTTCGAACTGCTAGGTTGGCAGGAGCTGGGGCCAGAGACGGGAGCTCACTCCATCACACGGCACTAGAGGGTCTCGAACTACCGACCTTCCGGCCTGCAACTCAGTGTCAGCTATCCCCAAAACACACACACATATGTATGTGTGTGTATATATGTAATACTTCATTTACTGATAAATAAATCTTTAGTTTTCATCTCCATCTGTGTCTTGTCCAGTCAAACATCCAAGGCGAAATGATCCCTTTTCACCCTCACATATAAGCACAGCTACAGTCCAGCAGGTTTCCAAATAAGAGACCTTTTTAGGGAGCGCCTCGCTTACATGCGGCCAGTCTTGAATTTAAAGCTTGTGTGTGTCCCCCTTTATTTAATCGTGAGTGGTTTGGGTATAACAAATCTGTAGAATAGGCCGGGGGGGGGGGGCGGACTGGATATTCTTCAGTCCAGAAGGCATCTGCTCCCCTCACCCCATAGATGCCACAGTTGGGTCTATGAGTCGAGGGCCTTCTCTGTGGCAGACCCACAACTAGCAGGCAGCTGAAGGCAGTTTTATCCATGAGGCATTGGGTTAGGGTTAGTAGTGGTCTTGAGCTGTGATTTGGGCATGTCGTTTTTATGATTTCAATGGAGCACCACTCCTTGCCCCCCTCCCCCTTTCTCTCTTCCTCCCCCCCTCCCCCTTTCTCTCTTTCTCCCTCCCGATTTACCAGGCTGCCATTCCCTATGAGTAGGGCTTAGCACGGCTTACAACAAAACAGGGGATTCAGCTCCCCAGCCTTTGACTGCTCCTCAGTAGCCTTGGTCAATGGTTACCATCAGACCTCTCTCCATGTTGTTGCCCTCTT